TAATTATGTATATATGTGTGTACATGAATTTTATTAAATTGTGATTAGTATGGAATGAAGGATATATATGTGTGTATATATATATATATATATATATATATATATATATATATATATATATATATGATTTAAATAATCAAGGATTATTAGGGAAAGTTTATACACATATATATTATATAATATATGTGTATATATATGTCTGTTAATTAAGATTATTAGTATTATTATTATTTTTTATCTGGTATATATATGGATAGATTGGTTGTTAAATTAGGGATGTACTTATAGTCTAGATGAGATATTTATGCATAAATTAGTTATCATTGAGTCTACAATTTGTACATGGATGAGTTGTCGATCATAGGCGTAAATATATTGCCTAAGTATTTGTATGAATAAAATACATACATGGGAAACATGTATGAGTTGCTAGTTTATTAGTATAAATAAATATACTTAAGGAGGCATGGTTGAGTTGCCAATATATAAATAAATATATTTTTAATGGCATGGTTGATTTGCCAATATATAAATAAATATACATACATGGAGGCATGGATGAATTGCCAATATATAAACAAATATATTTATAATGGCATGGTTGATTCGTCAAAGTGTAATTATATTATTGTGTGTTAGATAATTAAAATGTATCATCTATGGTTACCGTTTGTGTAAGTTGGATTAAGATTAGATATTCTTAGAGTAAAATAGTCTAGTACCTACAGGTTGGTGTATTATTTTATACATATTAATAAAATAATACTGGTAGTGACATGGATGATTTGTCAAAGTCTAGATATTGACTGTGTGAGTTAAATACTTAAGATCATTATTGGTTTTGGAATTTAATATAATGTTCTTTTAATTATATTTCATGGTTTAAATTATTAAATTGCGGTTTAGGATGGAGTCAAGGCTAGAGGGGCTTCTTTAAAAGAAATTGTAGATTGGACTAGATATGATTATTAGTTAATCATTGATAATGGTTTTGGAATTAATGAACTTGGTAATAGTTGTGATAATTATGTATATTAAAGATAAAGACTTTATTAGGTTTGGTTTTGATCAGAGATGATCTATTTATTAGTTTTCAGAGGTCTGGTGGAGAGAACTTGCTCATATGGTTTAACCCGCGATTTATTTTTCAGGTTATTAGAAGTTCAAGTCTCAAGGTTGAGGATCCGCAACTGAAGGACTTATCCATTATTTCTTCTTATTTCAATGTAGGATATTTTCTAATTGTTAGATACTGGATTTTATTTAGAGATCATTGGATTATTGGTTTATGTTATCAAGGGTCCTTGATTTACGGGATTCCCGAGTGGTAACTTTTGGAGAATTATTAATGGAATTTTTATTTAATAGAATTTTCTTCAACGAATTATTTATTCCTTATTATTCATTTTTGTTCTCTGTGCTTGTTTGAAATACTTTAATTGTTTTAATATCTCCTAATTTTGTGCGCAGATTTGATCAACATGTGTTCGAAATTAGGGGTATTACAAATTTTATAGAAATTCTTTAAATATATCTTTGTCTAATGTGAATTATATGATAGAGTTTTATTAAAAATAAAATAGGTAATTTGTGATAGCATTTTATAGAAATTATTTTATTTTCATTATAGAAATTTGTATTCTTAACTACTGCCAATGCTACCTTTAGAAATATAAAAGTGGACATTAAGAAAAAGGAACAAATCCACCACCTTATTTGATTTGAAAATTTGAATTCTCAAATTTAGTTTTTGTTAGTAAAAAAAAATTAAAAAAAAAAACATATAAAAAATTTTCAACAACAAATTCATTTAAAGTCCAACCGAAAACCCAAAAACATTGAAACATGTATTAAGAATAAACCAAAAATAAAAAATAAAAACTGAGAAAAAAATTACAAATCAAAGTAAACTTATAAAGAGTAAAATAAAAATAAAAACTAAAGAAAAAAATAATAATAATACTTCTGAAAAATAAAAAGTAAAGAAAAAAAAAAATAACAATAATGACTCAAAATAATAATAAATTATGAATGAATCAAAAAATAAAAATAAAAAATAAAAAAATCACAATCCAAAGTATACTTACCAAATCAACCACTTCTAAACATCAATTAGAAAGAGAAAAATAAAATAAAATAAATCAACTACTTTCAATTAGAAAGAGAAAAATAAAAATAAAACAAAAGAAAATAATAATAATAATAATAATAATGCTTCTAAAAACAAAAACTAAAGAAAAAAATTAACAATCCAACCTTCTCAATACAACAAATTAAGAATAACAAATTTTGAACCATCTAAAAATAAAAACTAAAGAAAAAAGAAGAATGATACTTCTGAAAAAGAAAAAAAAAAAAAAAAAAAACAATAATGACTCAAAATAATAATAAATTAAGAATGAACCAAAAATTAAAAATAAAAAAATAAAAAAAAATGAAGAAAAAAAATCAACCACTTCTAAACAACAATTAGAAAGAGAAAATAAAAATAAAACAAATCAACTACTTGTAAACATAAATATCAATTAGAAATAGAAAAAAAAATAATAATAATGCTTATAAAAAGAAAAATTAAAGAAAAAACGTACGAGACCAATTATAAAGAGAAAATAAAAAATATGCACACCACAAGCCGGACCTAATATATATATCGACTATATGTGATAGAGTTTATAGAAAATAAAATAGGTAACTGAAATTTTATTAGGTAATTTATGTTAGAATTTTATAGAAACTCTTTATATATATATAAAAAAAAAAAATTGTATCAATTAATAAATAATTTTTTATATTAATAAATAAATACTGAACTACTGAAGCAATTAATAAATGTTTTTTATATTAATAAATAAATATATAAACTCTTTGCACATTTAAAAATATATATATATTATATCAATTAATAAATAATTTTTTATATTAATAAATAAATACTGAAATATTAAACCTCTTATATATATATATATATAAAAGTTGCACATATTATCCGTGGCTTAAAATGCTAGTTCATGCGTAGGGACATGTTTAGGTTTTAAAAAAAAAAGCCTTCAACGGCATCGTTTAGGGACATGTTTGGGTTTTAAAAAAAGCCAGCTAAGGAAACTAAATATACCTCAGTAAATCCAGGAGTAAACAGTTACTTACCAGAATTAAATTACTAATTCAAGGTTAAGTGTAAGAAACATCCTTATTATATACAAAAAATTGCATAAAACTCCCTATTATTTTTGTTTGGTGCAAGAAATCCCTTAGGTGCAAATTTCCCCCTAATTAGTCATTTGGACCAATTTTTTATATTAAAATCCCAAAATGCCCTCCCAATCCGGTGAAAGCCATCGCCCGCGAACACCATTTCCGACCAGGCTATATTTTTTTGTGTTTAAGTGTTTCAATTGAAAACCCATTTCTAATTTCTGATTTTTGTGATGGAGGATGATAGCAATCATGGTGTTAAAGCGTCGGCATCACCATCCACCACCGTCATCGTCCTCCTCTGCCCTTCCCTCATCCCTTACCTTCAAATAACCACCGCCTCTTCCATAGCAACCCCCACAAAATCATAGCCTCCTCGAACACTATCGCAGCCCCACAAAATCATAGCCTCCTCCGTCATATCACATAGCCACCACTATCATCTCTTTCCTAAATCTGAAAACCTAGGTGGATGGATAATCAAGCCTCCATCAATGGCGCGTCTGGGCGCTTGTAGGTGCGTGTGCCGTTGTTGGTAGTCATCGATCTAGATTGAAGTTCGCTATTGATAGTTGGCTGTCATCGTCAACTCAAAGCTCCTCGCCGGAGTTCATAGTGTTGATGAAACGGTTCTTGAATTGAGATGAAGCTCTCCTCTCCGTTTTGGGTCGCTGACGCTTTATTAGTCTTTAATGCACTGAGACTCACCGGAGTTGGGACTCTCATTCTCGGAAATGGTGCTTGCCAAAAATGGTATTTGGCAGGGAGTTGAACTGACACAACGGCCGGCAAGCAATGAATTGAGTGAGTGGCAGCGAAGAACAGACCTTACGACGGCGATGCAAGGAAGACAAGCAACTACCAGCAACTCCGGCGATGGGATACAACTTTGACGACTAGCAAGAGTGGCCAGCGAGTAACTACTGTTGACAGCGGGCAACTGTCTTGCAGTTCTGTAAATGCTTTTTTATTTTCAGAGCCATCTTCAAATTACTCTCCCAAGTCAGAATCAATGTCCATAATCTTTTGTAAAAGTTCACTGAAAAACCAATCCGGATGCATACAAAACAAACTATGGGAATGTTGGCGCAAATTTGTCGACTCTGGAGTGGTTGAAGGGAGTCTTTGGGATAAACGAAGCTTCAGAGACGCATAAATCTAGAGAAAGAAAAGGAGTTTTTAATGTAATGGATTTCAAGTCTGAGTTTAATGGGTCCATATCCACAATCAATCTCACTGCTTTACCACCACAATTGCTATCATCCTCCTAACAAAGATCAAAAATCACAAATGGGTTTGAAACACTTTCAACACCACCAAAAAAAAAAAAAAAATAAAAAAAAAAAAATAAAAAAATAAAAAAAGTAGGGGGTTTATTGCACCCAAAAAAACAGTAGGGGGTTCTTGCACATTTTATATATAGTGAGAGTGTTTTCTATACTTAACCCCTAATTCAATGGTAATCTAACAAAAACAAAACGAAATCATTAAACTAACATGCTTGTACTCACTTTATCCAATCCATAATCTAATTTTCATTAACTAGCTTACTCGGATGAAGAAAAAATAATAATAATAATTAATTTATAAAAAATAATGAAAAAAAAAAGAAGATGATGCCGCAAGACCTGCCAATCAATCTCTGAAATGTATTTTTCTAAAGAGTAACAAAAGCAGACATTTTAAATCACGTTGAAATTATGTTCTAGTTTGTTAAGGGGACTAGATACAACATAAAAGGTGGACAAAATGAAGAAACAATTGAGTAGTAAAATGTCAAGCATATATGAGAAAAACAATTAGTAAAAAGTGGCAAGATCTAACTTTATAAATAAATAAAACACAATAAATTTTTGAAATAGATTTTCAAGAAACAAAAAGGCCACATTCTTAAACCAACCAGTATCGGCAGAAAAACCGTCTAACCCAACAAAAAGGTCACATTCTTAAACCAAAACAAATACTGTTATGTGTCAGTTTTCTGAGAGTAAAATATACCCCCATTTGAGTCCTGGTTTCTCTTATAATCAATCTATAGTTCTCCTGATTGAAACTGCCCCGTTGGATAGTAACAATTACCAATAACTTCTTTAGTGACTACAGCATACCGTCCTTCCCCACCCAGTAGCCCCAACTATTTGGCACAAGATGGTATTTCTTTCCGCTTGGACTGGCGGAAAAACCCACAACCAAAACACAATGATGATGAATTGGTTCCTTTTCATCAATTGGCTTTGAGTAGGTTCCCTATTTCAAAAAATAAGTAATCAAATATTTTTCTTAAAAACAATTAATTAGAGAATATTAATAATAATGCTAGCTGTTTTGTAATATGTTTAACAACCTTTTTGTATGTTGGGATGCTATTATATACATGGATGACAACAGCTACAGGAAACTTGCATAAAGCCTCTAGAAGACCAGATATTTTTACATAACCGTCTATTCTAGCTGCCCTAGGTACCTGAAGAAATAATAAATTAAAGAAACCAAAGAAAAAATAATAAGAGATTTTCTGATAAGTAAACACACTAGCCAGCAATTCATCTTTTGGGTAGAGAAATAAATTAGTGAGAGTTCATATTTATACTATTTTACTATGTCAAAAAATCATTATGTTCAATTCTTTCTCTGCATAAGTAGTTTTAGTCATTAAACTGATATGCTTGTACTCACATACCCAATCCATAATCTATTTTTCATGAACTTGCTCAAATGACGGGAAAATATATACTAATAATAATTAATTAATTAATTAATTAAAAATAATGAACAAAAATAATGGCCCAAGGCCAATCAATCTCTGAATTGTACTTTTCTAAAGAGTAACAAAGCAGACATTTTAAATCATGTTAAAATTATGTACTAGTTTGTTGAAGGGACAAGATGCAAAACTAAGACCATATCATAAAAGGTGAGAGACACAAAATGAATAAACAATTGCGTAAAATGTTCAAGTACGCATGAGCAAAAAGTAGTAAGACATAACTTTTAAAATAAATAAAATACAAAAAAAAAAAAATTGAAGAATAAGTTGAAGAGATGTCCAAGGAATGAGTATACAAACCTCTTTTCCGATTCCACTCGTTTCAGTAAGCTTTCTTCTTCCACAAAGAAGACCTATATATATTTGTAAGATTAAATATGAAAAAAAAAAATTAATATATTTTATACTGAACTTGTATAAATTTTTTAACCCAGAATTTTAATTAATAATATAGAAAGAAGAATGAAAAGTTACCTGAGGAGCAAGGAGGCATAGCCCTAAAGCTAAAAACAGCTCAAAATGGAACAAAGATGAGGCCCAACTAACTCCTCATATGGAAGGTAGAGAGATGTGAAATAGGTGGCTGAAGGATGTATTCTTAGTGTTTGGCAGATGAGAAATAGAGGATGAGAGAATTAAAGAAACAGTTTGTTTGGACAATGGCTTTAAAGAGAGACAAATTCGTGTAAAGGGCTTTAGAGATGATGAGGGGTGTGGTGAGGAGTAAAAGGGAAAGAGAGAAAAAGAGAGTAAATGTATAGTCAATTCAACAGTGTATAAATGTATAGTCAATTTAACAGTGTATAGTCAATTCTTAATGCCTGTCAAAAAAACAGAAAAACAGTAAAAAGTATGTATCGTTCTCAATGTTAATAACGGTGATGATATATCTTAGAAGAATACAATTTCAAAAAATGAAAGATTCTGAACAAGGAGAGAGGTAGCCAAATCCTCCTCACCTATTATTTCTTCACCGAATTGATGTGGTGCTATGGTTTTTACTTTTAAGGCTGCTTATTGGCCAATAACATTAATTTATATATTTAAATAATCATTAACTAATATATTTTTAGATGTCATTATTAATATTTTTAGATGTCATTTTGAGATGTTAAAAAAAAAATATGTCTCATTCCAAAATTGAATGTACTATTTTTTATAATATTTTCAAATTTTCCTTTTAACTAAACAACTGCACTAATTACGGAACACTATTTTGTCTTTTAGTAAGGACATATTTAAAATTTCACTCTTATCAATACAATAAAAAATTATTAAAACTTACTACTATAAAACGTTGGATTCTCATATATCATATATATCTTAACGTTAAGATTGAATCGAATTTTTAATAGCTCAATCTGTAATTGGATCTATGTGAATTCATATTATTGAATCCACTATAAATCCGTGAGTCTAACAATTTGATTCAATCCGTGATACACAAATTGGTGGATCAAATACCCACCCCTAATATTTAAATACATCTTTGGCACTAGTCAAGCATAAGACTTTTGTCGAACCTTTCCATTCATTTTCTTCTATAAACCAGCCATATTAGCTAATGTTGATTTTCCGTTACTGACACCGTCTAAAATAGTCAAAGCAATGTCGTGATAAATAAAATAAAATTTACTCCTGTCGCAAAAATTTTGGAGTGTTTGGAACTTAATTTTTTTTTGGTAGTGGGGTTTTAATATTTTTTTGGAATTAACTACAAGAAACACCCTACTATGTATAAAAGGTGAAAAAAAAAAAAAGAAAAAAAAAAAACGTACTATTTGAATTTGTGCAAACAAGGATATTTCAATTGAAATGTCTGAGATACCCCCATAATTTTTTTCCCTCTCCACTCGCTTTCTCTCTCTCTACAACATACATCATCAGTGAAACGGGTCCGCTTCGCCGGTTATAATGACGGTGAGCAGCAAGGAAGTGCTCGGATTGACCAAGGAGCTCGGCGACATTCTGAAACGGATGCCGAAGCTGAAGCGACGGGGATGAACCAGCGACGGAGGTGAGCAAAGGTGAGACGTCTCAATGCCATCATTCCACTACCCCACCGGGCCACCCCAAAACCACAAGCTGTTGTGCCACCATTCCACCCCCACAACTACTGGATGTGGTACAAGCTGTTGGGTGTATTGAATATATAGGTAAATTTTAAGACTTATATTTTGATTCGTGGGAAATTGATGTGTGATTCATGCGGATTCTTCTAGGAAGAAAAAAGGGAAGAGGAGGGGGAAAAAAAAGGAACAGTGACAGAAAAATGGGAAGACGACAAACTGAGCTTACCGGTGAGAATGCAAGGATGGTCGCCGGGAAGGAATCAGTAAGCAAGGATGATGGAACGGAACAGCGGTCTTGGAGCTTTTTTTGACCACACGGAGTTTACCGGCGAAACTGGAGCATGTTGAAACTGAGGTTCAATGGAACTGGAGCACACCAGCCGGCCTGAAATTTCTAAAATTTTGTAGCGCCGGGGCGAATTTTCAATGCGAGACCTTTATATACTTCCTCCGTCCCATATTAATCTTGACTCACAATTTTTGTGAGTCAAAATTAGTATGAGATATATGTAGAATATAAATATATTAAAGGAATATGACTAAAAATAATATTAAATGATTAAAAAATAAAATGTGGTAATAAGTCAAAAAATTTCAAATTGACAACTATAATGGGACGGATCAAAATAGACCTTTTAGTATGAGATATATGTAGAATATAAATATATTAAAGGAATATGACTAAAAATAATATTAAATGATTAAAAAATAAAATGTGGTAATAAATCAAAAAATTTCAAATTGACAACTATTATGGGACGGAAGTAATATAAGATTTCACCCGCACAAAAAATTTATAAGACTGCGAAATTTTAATTAAAATAAACTATAAGAACCAAAAGCAACTTGAAATATGTCTTAACGGAAATTTTTTTTTTTATAAGAATGTAAAATTTTCATTAAAATGAACGATAAACACCAAGGGCGACTCAGAATAATTTGGGGCCTTAGGAAAAAAAAAATAATAATAATAATAAAATTATAAGAGTTCGAAATTTTAATTAAAATAAACAATAAGCACCAAGGGCGGCTCGAAATAATTTGGAGCCTTAGCCAATAAATAAAAAGTGACAATATAATAATATATTAATATTAAATAATATTTATTTAAAAATCATCCTTCTTAGTTTTGTGAAATTAAAAACTACTAATTAGATTATTTTATTTAAGGTTGGTTAAAATATACAAATATATGATAATATATATATATATATATATATATATATATATATATATATACACACAAATTTATAATAACAAAATTAATAAAACTAAAAAATAATTAAAGAAAAAAAACAACAGAACCTGATTTAGAAAACTCCAATTCAATTCTCCTACAAATTCTTCAATTTGAAAGTAATGAGCATTGAGTGGAGAAGAAAGAGAATTATAAATTTGTAATGAAAGAGGAGGGAGATAACTTGTTGAGAGAGCTCACGGAGGAGAGAAAGTATTTGAGGAATAAGAAAATAAATAAATAAATAATAAAAGCAAGAAAAGGAATATGGAAAAAAAGAAAAATTTAGTGTTATTGTAAAAAATGCCAAATGAGAGAGAGAGAGAAAAAAAAAAAAAAAGTTATTTAAGAATATGAATATTTGGATCCACAATTAAAATTATGTACGAGGAGGAGAGAGAGAGAGGAAGAGACAGATAAAAAATAAAATAAAAATTCATTTAGGAATAGAAATATTTGTGACCCAATATTTCTGTAGTGGTTAGAGTTTAATTTAAAAAGAGAAAAAATAACGGATATAAAATTTTTAGGTCCGCTAATAAATTTCTATATCAATTATATTTGTAAAAATGTTACGAAATAATTATAAAATAACATATATATGAGGTAATTTAAAATTTTGAGACCGCTCTAGATTGGAGGCACTAAGTGACCGCCTAGGTCGCCTATGCCCAGGGCCGGCCCGACACCAGACTGAACCACATCGGAATATGAGCTGAAGTTGGGTCTTCATTTGGTCTGTTTTGAAGCTCACGGGTTTCTAACACGACGCTCTGTTTTAGCGATCTCTGAAACACATGGGAAGAGTGCGGCGTGGTTGGTATCCACGGCGATGCACGCTAGAATTGTTTGGTCGGATGTGTCTGCCTAGCACGTTGATGAAGCTTCGCGTTTCGTCGGTGTTGACATTGATGAATATGATGAATAACCTTGTGTTTTGACGATGACGATAAACCCAAGAAGAGTGGGGCATGGTTGGTATCTACGGCGACCCCAACACTCCCATCTCTGTTGCATCGCATTCCATTCGCTTCAATACCATGGAGGTGCCACAGTCCATGACGTCGTGCTCTAACTTCCCAGTGACATCGCTTTTGGACATGTTCACTACTCCACATCCAGAGCTTCCATGCTCAACAACGTGGACCCTTCGTCACCGATGAGAGATAGATGTGTTTGGAATGAAAATGGGTTTATTGAAGAAGAGAGAGAAAGGAAGGCATTTTGGAATTTTTATGAAAAAACATTGGTCAAATTTGATGACTAGGGGCAATTTGCTCAAAAAAATAAACAATATAGGGAGTTATATGCCTTTGTTTTCTAACAGGGGGTATATTTCATATTTTATATATAATTAGAATATTTTTTTGTACTTAACTCAATTTTTTATATTATATTTATAAGAGTGAATTTTTAAATTTATTCTTATTTAAAGACAAATAAGTACTATGTAATTAGTGCACTTGTTTAATCAAGTCAATGTGAAAAAATGAGTTTAAGAATATTATAAAAAATAATACATATCCAATTTTTGAATGAGGCATTTATTTGGAGATATTAAAAAAATAAAAAGATGAACAAGAATTTTAAAACTGCAAGAATTAAAAAACGGAGGGAGTAATTGGCAGACCCTGATCTATTGAATAGCCCATTCTTTTTCTTCGACGGACTAGGATGTGATCAATTTTTCCAGTCCTATGAATAGCCTCACTCTCCTCTTGTGACAATACAATACTCCGTCCAACTTTCCGAAAAAAAAAATATAATACTCACCCATTTCAAAATAAGTATCTATTTTTATTTTATTTTATTTTATTTTATTCATCCCAAAATAAGTGTCTCATTTAAAAAGTCAATAATTTTTTTTTAATAATAAATTTGATAATTCATTCAATATTAATACAATATAAATTATTCTATTAAAAAAATTAAACTTTTAAAAGATGACATTTATTTTTAAGCTAGTACTATCATCGTGGACAAGGATTATCTTCATTTGCACAGATATCTATTTTTTTTAAATTTTTTGAGTGAAAGTTCATTTTAATATTTTTCTATTGTGTATTTTAATATTCTTTATTGTGTATTTTAAACATAATTGACGTGATCATTTATGAATCATTCTTTTTAAAATAGAGAAAATGATACACTATTTTAGTGAAGGTGATCTTCACCCATCCTAAGGCTTGCACATTTCTTCTATCATAGTCAATCAAAATGATATATATATATATATATATATATTTCTATTTCTAGCATTTTTGTACTTTGCATCTGACGAGTTTTGCCCTGAGCAGCGTACCTCCTTTATTTTTTCCAACCATTCAATTAAAAAAGAAAAAAAAAGAAAATTTCCTCTTTGCCCACGGGAAATAAGCACCGAAGAGTATT